TTGTAAGAGACTACTTAGTTAAATTTTATTAAAACAAGTATAATGCTGTTGTTAACAAAAAAAAAACATCTTTCCAGATTACATTTTCCTGGTGTTATCAGTGGTCTAAAACTTGAAAATGCTTGATTTGACGATTTTTCCAGCAATTTTACCAAAAATGCACGTTTTTCAGTACATTCAACATACGATATCTTGAAAACTACTGAACCAATTTTGTTCAATTTTTTTTTGTTTTGTTTCTTTTTGACTGAGTAACAAAGTCATACTGTCAATGAAGCTATTTGGAATAATTTATTTTTTCACTGTCATTGCCAGAAATGAGTGGACAAGATGGCCGACTTCCGCCCTGGCCAGTGTTCCCCAGTCAAATAAACATCACAGGATGTGCCATAGAGAATGCATTGCATAAACATCTATTAAAACAAAATTTAATTTTGAGTTTATATTTTTCATTTTTTCACTTTTGTGTGCTTCGTAATAGACAGGTGACGTTCCAAGCTTTCGATATGTTATAGATGTTTCCATCAAAACTCCACCATTAAATGCCCAACTTGCCGTAAAACTTGATGATATATCCTACACTGGCCCAGTGTATTATCAATGGACGATATGTAATTGTGTGCCAAACTCTATTTTAAAAATAGGTAAATGCAGTAACGCAGGTGACTGTTCAAGTTTGTTCGCTTCGTTCTGGATACTCTCTGGTTCAATGAACACGGCGACGCAGCCAACGCAGTTGTAGACGCAGTATTCGCTGCCCAAATTAGAGCTAAAATTCATGCATTTTTTACACAGATGTACGATCCAGTGGTTAGCAAATATAACTGTTTTAATCCAATTAACAACAGGAAGTAACCTGAATCAAGATTTAGTTTATGTCCGCTATTCCATGTTAAAAATTATCCCACTTTTCGAACGCGAAGCACTATCGCCATACTGCTTTTGATGCTGAAGGTCAGACCACAAGATCAATATATTGTATCGGCCGTTTTTCCTCTTTGTAAAAAAGGGGTTTCATC